AATGTCCCTAAATTTCAGATTTTATTCTCCGAACAAGCCAAATGGAAGATGTAAATGCTGAAAAGTAAATTTGAATGTAGTGTTTCTACAATTGGATATTCTTGTGCAAGTGTTGGTGTTTTTAAAACACTAAACTAAAAGATATTATTGGATAGTACATATTTCATAAATAGACTGAGCTTGAATTACATATGGTGTGTGTTCTATACATACAATGTCTTTAGGAATTGCTCTTCCAATCCTATGTGTTCACCCACTACAGTGAGCTCAATAATGTCCCTAAATTTTAGATTTTCTTCTTCGATGGAAGATGTAAAGGCTGAAAATTAAATTTGGATATTGGAAACTGATACCCCACCACACTCACATCTTAGAGGCAGACTAAAACAACCTTGAAATAATTCAGATTCCAATTTCCAAAACTTCTACGAAGATCAATCTTCAGACACATTTAATTTATATAGTCATGTCATACCTTTCCCTCTTTCTTCTTCATTTCAGAAAATTACTTAAAACCCAAATACAAAACTGGTGATCAAACTTCATTTCCACCATTTTCAAGCTTTTTTGCTACTTCTATTGCATTGCGTTCAAGCCTAGGATACCACATAATATATATGGCTCTATTTTCTACACACACACACACACACACACACACACATTCCTCAGTCTTACTCTCATTGAGACTCCTCTGAACAAGTACCATAATCTTGTTGTGTTGATTTAGGAAATCAAAGACATGTTTCTTTCCAATAAACTCTTTAGAGTTATTCACACTCTAAAAAGAAAATCAAAGTATTGATTTCATGACCAAGATCAAAGCAGTCTCAAACATGGATCTCACTATGCACATCACTCCACTTCATATACTAAGAAATATCCTCGCTGATGTCGTACATATTCACCTTTAATATTGTGATTTCTTCTTTTCCTTAATATTGTAAAAAAAAAATCGCATGTGATCCCTATAATGAAAAAACAAATCTTTGAATTGAATTTTTACAAAAATCTTTTCGACTTGTAAAAAAAGAAAAGGAGATCAGAAATGAATATGAAATGGTTTTGAAAGAGTTTGTCATGCCACCCTCAATAACACTTCTTTTACTATATTACCCTTGTATATTAAAAAACTATTTCACATTTCCATTGTAACAATTTGAATTTTCTAAAAGTTGTTCATCTTATCGGATTTTTCGAGCTAACTACCACATTTTTACAAGTTAATTGAGTTTTTGCCAAAAATTTACGTTTTATATCAGATTTTTCACTAAAACCATGCATTTTTACCGATATTTTCAAAATGCCCATTAATAACTCATATTTGTCATACATTTTACCGGATATTTTGGAAAATTCGGTACAACCACATGCATTTTTACCGGATATTTTGAAAAGTATGGTAAAAATGTATACATGTATATCGAATATTTCAAAATATATGGTAGAAGGAAATGTTGAGATGGTAACCTGTTTTTTCAAAAAAGTATGAGAAAGTCATGTCGATTTCCAGATTTTTAAAAATTCGATAGTTAATATTTCTATGATTTTTTTCTGTGAGAACCAAAGGAAAGGACGACATAATTGCTTCTAGGCATAGAGAGTTGTAGAGAGGTCTCATACGAGGGAAAATGACCTCAAGGATTCACATATTTGGGAGGGGATAGGAGCCCCGAACGGTTCTTACAAGAGGAGGATGGATGAGCAAACACACACATAATTGATTGATGGGTCAGAGATCTTGTTGATGAGCTCGGTGTGAAAGCACATAGTATCATTTGGTATCAATTACGTGCTTTGAGTATCAATTGTGTTTTGATGTTTTACAATTCAATTATTGTTTCATTGCGTATTTGTAATTTGTTAGTTATTTTAATTTATTTGCGTGATTGTAACATTCTCTCCATTTGATTGTAATCGCTTCGACTACATAAATTGTACCACTGAGAACCCCTTACATTTCATGATATATTCATTTGATCCTTGCTTACTATTTCTTTTTTGAGCCTATGAAAGTTACTGTTTTGTCATTTCTACACGAGTAGCTTGAATCACAAGTTAAAACATTTGAATTGTGATGATTTTCCATTTGATTCAAATCATGTGTTTTATTTGATTTGAATCAATCACCTATTTAAATTTGGAAAAATCATTTTGTATCAAATAATTCGAATAAAAAATTGAACATGATTCGAATCATAACCTCATTTGATTCAAATCAAGTATAAAAAATGATTCGAATCATTTAAAAATGTGATCTTTTTGACACTGTCCAAATTGATTCAAATAAAAAATCCTTCATGATTCAAACCAAACCTTCACAAATCCAATTTTTCACCGCTTATTTAAATAATTGTGTTGTTTTGGTGATAGTAACAAGCGTGGGAAACCTATGGTGATCCATAGTGATAAAAATTGTGATTTTTATCTTCTTATCTTAGTGTGTTCATCATTACACCAATCTTCTCTCTTCTTCTAAAAACACTAACCTTTTGATATTCAACCCATGTATATTCTTTATCTTTTTTATTACATCTTGTTTGTGTAATTTGGTTGTTGTTCTACTGTGAATTTAAGAATGAGTTAATTGATCTTGTTGAGGATTTGATCAAGCTCTTGATAATAATCAAGATATAAGATCCACTCATCTAGAAACTTGATTGAACCTTGTGGGTGTATTATTCATTCATCAAAACTGAATTACTTGACTAATCACTTGTAATGTTAGTTGTTGTTGAGATTTCCTGACAGTGTTCACCATCTTCATCCTTATTCGTTTTCCTTGTTTATGGATCCTTATCTAAAGATTGAGTGAAAGGGGGACTAGTGGTATTAGGGTGTCTTATGTTTTGTGTTAGTTGATTTCTTGGGCAACAAATGCATGTACCGTTTCTTGAGTGTAGTTTGGCATTGAGCTATTATTTAACAATATGAGAGTTTTCATTATACTCCAACAAAGACTTTGACAGAATCAAGTATCAACAATTTGTAAAACGGAGTTAGAAGTTGTCCTTCTTTGGTGGTGTTGGAGAAAGATTGCTTGTAGACAAAGTTGGGAGTTGTCCAATATATGCTCAGTTAATGACAATCGCTCGGACAATAAATCGATGGGATCAGAGGATTGCCACACACGAATACTTGGAGCAGGTTATTGTGGATAACGAGGTTATTGGATCAAGATATTGAGGGATCTTGTATTGTGTTAGCAATTTATTGTCTGCACTATCAGAGGAACTATTGTGCGATAGTTCTTTGTAATCAAAACATTGTAATCAATTTTATCAACATAATGAAAAACTGCGATTATGTTCCTATGACATCATCCATAGAAGAGTGCATGTAAGCGAGGATGAATGCTAAAACTTTATATATCTTTGTGTATGTTTCCCTTTCACTATATCTTCACTGTTTCTCTCATTTACCAAGAGCTTGCATGTATTACTGTTACACAAGACATGCCGGTGACTGATCTAGCATCGAGAGTTCGATGACACTTTTTTTTCTTCTGGTTATCTGCGATGGGGGACCTTAGTGGCTAGACACTTACCATGATGCACAAAACTCGATCTTACCCACCGTTTTGTTCTCAGTGGAGCAACAAAGTATTCAGTAAGGATCTCAAATCAACGAGACTAATGGTGTCTTCAGGGAGTCGAAAATCAACAGGAGATTTAACGCTGTTGAATATCAAAACTTCCATAAACGAATATTGAGACATTCTAAGATGTTTTTTTAACGATATATCATCCTTATTTATACAAATTTGAATTTATTATAGACTACACACAACTGGCGGTGCAATCATAATTGTACAAAACTACCGAAAACATCTTAACTATGAAAATTTAAACTACTAAATTTTTTATAACCCTACTAAATATTCGATAAATGCATAAACTTTTAAGAAAACCAACAAATTTTACACTATCAAATTTTTAATTTTAAATAAAATCCCGTAAACCATGGTATTTTTTAAAAACAATATTTTTTTTCTCACACATCTGTTTTTTTTTTTATTACAAAAATCGATAAAATTGCATACTATATTTTTATATTCATATTTAAAATACATTATTAGATTTTTTCCACATCATTTTTGATTAAAAAAAAAAACAAAAAGCTATTTTGAATGTTATGAAAAATGAAATGGGATTAGATTAGGTGCCTTTCGAGCAGAAAAGGTACCTTGGACCAATCAAATCTATCTGATGAATCAAACAATCCATATTGAAAAGATGGGGAAAATTAAAAAGAAAGGATTATTACATTGAAAAGATGGGGAAAATTAAAAAGAAAGGATTATTGACAGATTGCTAAGACGAAGTTGCTGTGTAGACGGGAAGGTATGGCTGACGATGCGGCTACATGTAAGTAGTGGCCGGAGTACTGCGAGTAGAGCTTGCAGAAAATTGTGGCTTATGTTTTTTATTTTTGGGTTTTCTATTTTGTATTTTCCACTAAAAAATTAATGGATGTGTGGCTTTATTCTGAACCATTCGATTCATCAAACGGATTTGATTGCTTCAAAGGCACGGTGCCTTTCCCTGCTTTAATGGTGGGGTGGCAGAATAAAATATTGTGGTTTTGGGTTCATAATAACAAAGCCTCAACACCTGAGCCCTAGCCCCTGATTCACGAGACCAAACTCGCCGGAGCACCACCCTCAACGGCGCGTCGTTCACGCCAAATCGCCGGAGAAGTCAGCATCAATCGTCAGAGCATCCGTGTAATTCAGTCTCTTCTATTTATACCGATTCTTAATGTTCATTAATTGCTTATATTTCATATCTTTCTTCTCTCTTAGAACTTTTGTTTTTACTGCTTCATTGCTGATATAGCATTTCAAACTCTGTAGTGAGAAATTCTCAATATTCTATTGAAATTTCCGGCGATAAAACTTGTCCGGTAAACGGAGCTACTGTAACTCCGGCAAGGAAGATTCTCAAAGTCTCTATCGTTTGTTTTCCAATTCTAGCTCAATAAAGTTTGAAAGAACCCTAGAAATGAGCTCAGGTATTCGTTTCTCTTTCATTTTCCCCCTTACTCTGCTTTGATAATCACTCGCATATCTTTTGGTTATGTATCTACTTGAAAAGATTAAACTAAAAGCTTGGTTTGGAAGTTCGATTAAAGTATGAGTTTTTATTCTGAATTCAAATTGGATGTAGGTTGTAGCTAATTTTATTGTTTTTTCTAGTACTATACTATGCTCTTTCTGCCTCTATTTGATTTAATTCTAAAATGGCATTCTGTGCAACTGATTTAATAATTAGGTGGTGCATTTGGTGGAAACAGGGGTCTCCGTCCCGTGCCTCCGGAAAAGGGAGTTTTCCCATTGGATCACATGCATTTGTGTGACCTGGTATGCTTCATCTTCTCTCAATTGTCGATCAAACCGATGAATTAAGATGTATGCATTTATTTACTCGTGTTGTACATGTGTCATACAAGTGTGGACACCGACGCTTGTCGGACACTATGACACGCTTAATCCTAGAAGTGCTCGTGCTACAGAGCTTGATGCCATAGCTACAATTTGTTGCAATGTCTCAACGTGCATTTGCGAGTGTTTAATGCCAAAGCAAGCAGGCAATAGATTGTTTCGTCAAATTTTTTTCAGTTTGTCAATTGCTGTCAGAGTTTATCTTGTCTATCTTCTTGTGCCTTAATTCCTTATCGCCTCATTTCAGGACAAGAAAGAATATCTCAATTGTTTAAAGACTGCTGGAAGTAAGTCTGAAGTATGCAGGGAATTCTCAAAAAAATATTTGCAATGTCGCATGGAAAAGTGAGTTGGCTTCACTGCACTACATACATAGTTATCCTCACATTTCTGATATACTTGTGTTTTTCTCTTACAGGTTACCATATTGGTTTCAATATTTTACTATTTAACAGGCTATTCCACAGCTCAATATTGTGTGTAGCTTGATGAATAAACAGTGCTGTAAAATAAATCAAGTCTTTAGTGGATTTAAATTGATCATTTTGAACTTTTTAATCTGTTCTATTTGAATGACCATTGCAGTGTTGACAGGGAAACTCGTTGTTAATTGATTGTCACTTTGACCATGAAATTGAATAAAACAAAATACACAGACAAACCAACATAATTTCTTGATTACTTATACAATATACCAAAATGAAAAATTGCTGGAGTGAAGAGTTATAGATGAGTCATAACAGTTATATATTTAGGTATAACATGGAGGGATTACTCCTGTAGCTCTAATGACATCCATTATTTATCCAATCATTAATTTTGAAATATTTTAGGGTCGTCAATGTTTTCCTATGGATCTCTATTGATCCTATAGTCCTGAGAACCTATTGTAGTTGTTTTCTTTGCATAGAAGCTTGGCAATATGTAGGAAGACAAGTCCAATGCTAATTTTATTCAAGTTTTGCAATGAAATGATAGTGAAGTTTGCAGTTTTAGTCTATATCTTGATCCATTGGCCAGATATAGGAACACAAGTCGAATACTAATATTATACAAATTTTCAATGAAATGATTAAATCTTATCTTTTTGTTGTGAAGCTTGCAGTTTTACTAGATATCTTGATCCGTGTTTTTATTGATTGGATTTATTAATATGTTATTGCTGTAGACGTTCTTTGTGGTATCTAATGCTTTAAGGTTTTTCTTGACTGTTTTTATTTTTTATTTTTTATTTTTATCACTGCTTATCTATGAACTATCTAATTGACATCTTGCAGGAACTTGATGGCAAAGCAAAATTTGGCAGAACTTGGTTTTAAGGAAAGTAATGCAGAAACTCCTGGAGGGAAAATTACCAAGAGGATTGGGGATCAAGGTCAATGAACCTAAGTACCTTATAATGTATTATCACTTTTGAGGTTAAGTTTTGGTAATGTCATTCTTTCCTTTGCCATTCAGTTTATTTTGATAAGCAGATGTCTAACCATATAAAGTTTTTATTTTTATTTTTATTTTTATTTTTTTGCAATACATATAATAAATATTTGTACATTTGAAAATTAGCTTATTATTATTATTATTATTATTTTATTTTGAATAAATTAACTTTACTTAATCTATTTTTTTAGCAGCTATCAATTTCTATATTTGTGTACTCTGCATTGAGATCGTGTCTATTTAGAATTCTTCGTACAATAGTTTTAGGAGTCAAATCTGGTATTCTCCCTTTATTTTTGATGTGACCACTTGGGAGTCAAATCTGATCACCATCTCCTTGGTACACATTTTTAGGGCTATGTGTAATCCAGGTTAGAAAGCCTTATACTCTGCTTGATTATTCGGTGTTGGTAATTTGAATCTTACTACCACTTTTAGGGTGAGTCCGTTGTCGCGTTCCCAGAGGATACTAACCTTCGCCGTCCTTTATGTTGGAGGAACCATCAACGAAATCTTCCCATTTAGTAGTTTGGTACGGTACCTCCACAACATTTGATAATCAAATGTTATACTTTGCTTAAACAACAAACCCGACTTTTAAGAGGTCCTATGTGACCCTCTTGGTTACTTTGTCGTATCTAGTGATTGCTTTTGACAATATTGGCCAATAACTTTCAGTCATAGAGCTAACAAGTGTCAATTGATCTTAGGGTCTGTGACACGCATTTCTTCGGTAGACAATGCGAACAAATCAACTTTGATTTTTAGATATTTGATAAATTGATCCTTCGCGAGGTCGGTCCTCATGGGGACTTCGAAGAGTTCACTATTAGGATATGGTTGCTCCATCTTCTTTCTTGCCTCTAATAGAAGTGTTTCTCTTTCGTCTTTTTCATCTCTAAATATGATTCAAGCCATTGCATTTTCATAATTCATAAAAGGGTTAAATATGTTGCTCTAAATATACTGATTTTTAAATATACAGGTTGAAAAAGTCTCACACCGCTTAATTTGGTAAAGAAAGTTTTGTAAAAGAAGATAAAGTCTAAGACTATATAATGGATTCAAGTTCGTCATAATAAAATGCACCAGTCAAAAACACTTTGAATTTGTATTTGATTTTTGTCTTTTCTCTCATACTCTTGTATTAGGGGCTTGTGGTGGTTGAGAATAGTCTATTGTAGTAACGATTTTCATATGATTCTATTCTCTTGTTATCATCTGATAACAATCGTGATTTTTCTCTGATTTTGGAGTTTTCACGTTAAATTCTTGTCTTCCTTTGTCTTTATGCCTAATTTATCCTAACAAGTGGTATCACAACCAAGTTTGGCTTGGTGGAGGAGTGAGACTCTCTTGTAGGGGACATTGTTGGGTGCAAGTGTGATTTGTTAAGTCTCATATCGCTTATAAGTAAGTGGAATATTGGATTTATAATAGAGAAATCTCGTATACACAACGCCCTAAAGTTTTGCATGAAGATGAGATGTTTATGGAACATTGCAATTCTTACTCCCACCTTCCCCGTACGCTAAAATAGTTATGAAGTAAATAAATCCAATGATATAAGTCATTGTATTGTCATAATTAGATATGTTGCTATAAATATATTGATTTGTTTTTTTTTTAAATCCTTTAAATTTTGATTTTGGCAATTTTTTTTTATCAATTTTAATCTCTTTTTTTCACAAAAATTTATGTCAAAGATGTTTGAATTGATTTTTTTTAATAACATATTGTTGATATGGCCTTAAAATATCATTAGTTTAATAGTTTAATCTTTAATTTTTACTAATTTATCTATAATTTTAAATTAAAGATGAATTTTTAAAATTAAATTTTAATTAGTTAAATTATTAGATAAATGATTTTTTTTTAAAAATAATTTATTTTTTCAACGAAATTCTCTAAATAACCAACTTTTTCTATAAGACTTTAAAATATTCATATTTAAAACAAAAAAATTACAACGAAGAGGACTAGCCAATTCAATTGGCAGCACTGCACTTAGTCTAGCCAATTGAATTGATAATAGTGTATAATTCATAAGAGCAGTCGCTAACACGTAGTAGCCAGATGTATTGACAACTGCTCTTATGAATTGTATCACTATTACAAATAATGCTTATAACGTTGCACACAAAAAAGATGTAACATCAACTATTCAGTAGGCGGAACGAACGGTGACATGAAAACATGAAAAGTTGTCATTTAATACCTTAGTTAATTAAAAGTCGAGGGGTAACGTTATATGAACATGAGTTTGAACTCCAGCATCTACATTTTTATTATTTACACAAACAATGCCTCAAACCTTTCGGTTTATTTAAAAATTGAACGTTAGACAGTTTAAAAAAAAAAATTCAATACATTGTTTACACATAATATTAATAAATTAATTTATTTACAAACTACTTTGTTTACACATAATATTACATTGTTTACACAAGATATTAAAGTAAAAATAATATTTTTCATTGTCATCATTGTCGGTGAAGAATAAATTTTGGATATCTTGGAGAAAGAGAAAATATTGAGATCCTCGTTTCATTGATCTTGGGGAAGAACACATGTTGAATGCAATAAAATAAATATTCAATTATATGATTATTTAAGAGTAGAAACCTTAAATATTCAATTATATTCGTTTCATGATGTTTCTTTATCAATTTTAGATATCATAAAGTCTATAATGGAAATTTTTTAGGAATTACGCGAATCACTAATGATAGTTTCTTGAGTGTTGATAATCTTGAAATTAACGACTAAGATTTGTTTAAGAACGCTAAGTTATCCCCTCAGTTTCTATAAAAATCGAGGTGAACATGTTTTTTTAATTACACAGAATATTAAATAAAAATAATACAACAAAACCAAAATTTTGATGTAAGAAGTTATTTGGTCCAAATATTGCACGCATCCTATTTCTAAAGAGTTATCTGGTCCCAACATTGAATGCATCCAACTTCTATTGAAAAAATATTTTTCTCCCATTGCAATCCATCATAGAGAACTTATATAAGCTTCTAAATACAACAACAAAAACAACGTCAACCCCATTTTGTGAGATGGATTCCAAAATAATGATGTGATTTCTACTTCTAACGAGTTTGGAGCGGCTACATATAAGTTAGGATTAGAGTAAAATCTGTCTAACGAGTACTTTTATAGTAAAATGTTACGTATCTTATAGCTCGTTTATTAGGGAAACCGACGGGACATATCCTTTAGTTTACAAAAAAATTATAATAAATAAAAATAGTTTCCTAGTTGTTTTTTCCCTCGGAGTTTTTGAAAAACTGAGGTAACATGTGATTTTTATTTCTAAAAAGTAAATTATGGCGTGCATTGGAGGCATATCCACTAGAATAACAATGATCATCCATATTAAAAAATGTAAAGTATCTTTTGGATTTTCAAGAAGACGTTTGAGCTTCTCTGATTGTTTCACTTCATATTCTCCACTTTATTTAAACATTATTCCTTGTTTCAATGTCTCATTTCCAACTCTTTATGTCTTCAAACTAGTTTCAAAGTCTTTTCTTTTCTTCAAAAATATCTTCAACAACCTTAGATGAAAATCTTTTGTTCGTAATCAATAAAAAATTTGTTCATTTCGATGATTTGAAAGACAAAGGTTTTAATCTAAGAAAAATTATTTGCAAACAAAAGTTGAATGGTTACTTTGACATTCTTAATGAACCATCTACATTAATCTCGTTAAAGAGTTCCGATTAAATGCCTCCATTGGGTCATCTGGTAATGATGCTGAGTCGCGTTAGCAATTGGTGGATATTTTGATTTTTTTTATTTATGTGCGACATTTTCAATTTTGTTGTCGTCACGTTTATATTCAATTTTGTAAGCGCTTTTGGTAATTCGGCATAACAACAATTCACATTTGCTTTTCACTACATTGCGTATAGACACGTGGCTTTTAGTTGTGTTAATTTACTTCGTTGTGTTTAATTTATTTGCAATGACCGCGCTTCGCGTTAGCAACAGGTGATTCGATTTGTGTTGACATACAACTATTCAATTTTGTTACATTTAAATCGAATATAAATGATGTGGTAGTAGCTTTTCATCGCAAGTTCTCGTGTTACGTGAAACTAAATCCGTGTCCTCGCATTAAAATTTTGATACGTGCACGCTTTGTGTTTTGTTTATCCTTTTAATCGATTATGGTGAATACGTGCTTGTGTAATTATGATGTATGCTCCTCGTTTATCTTGTCATAGTCTTTCAATTTGTTTGTGGCATTAGGCTACGCCATCACGTTAGAGTTTGCCTCATCACGCTAGAATTCATGCCCTCACAATGCACGTTAGAGTTTTCCTCATCACGCTAGAATTCATGCCCTCACAATGGAACTTGCTAATTTGTGTTACAATTCAGGCTTTTTATTATTTATCAACCATTTCATAATCAATTTTCACCTTTCATTATTCTTCAACCCATTTTCTAAATTGAATCAAACCATTTTCATAACTCATTTCGCAATGCAGATCAAAACGTTGATCGATATCAAGTGTCTTTTCCTAAGTAAAACCAAAGTCATTTGACTTAATTACATCAAAAAAAATTTATACGCCACATGAAAAAGGAATAGTTTGGCGTATGCTTCTCTTTTCCTCGATTATTTGGATACCTATTGTATAGTATGATCATCAGAGTACTTGTCGTATTTAAAAGATTCTAATACGTTTCGCGTCAATTTTATTTTCGCAAATAAATGGATGAAAAAGCAATAGTTTAACGTATGCTTCTCTTTTTCCCGAGTAATTGACACATGTTGTATATCTTACCTGCCAAGAACTTGTCATCTTCAAAATACTCTAATTCATATCAAATACTTTCATAAATAATTTGGATGAAAAAAGAATAGTTTGGAGTATGCTTCTCTTCTCCCCAAGTATTTGGATACTGGCTGTATAGTATGACTT